TAAGCAGCTGGGAGAGTGGCCGAATAGAGAACGACCTCATCGTAAAGCCTCAATATTTATGACCTTTAGTCACAAAGCAGTCGCTTGGAACATACGTTCCAAGGGCTTCACGATTCGCGGAAGTGGGAGAAATATGCAGATATGGCTCAGCGGCGAGAGACAGTTCATCATTCGTGGAAACCATGGATCGAATCTTCCTAGCTAACTAGACTTTTTTTTTCTTCCGCATTCGACTGACAGATAGCAAACTTTGAGCATGAGTATTTTTGAAGGACCGATTCTTTGACCTATCCTTCCGAATAGGGGTCGCGTACATATGATTTTCCTTAATTTTAAAGCAGCCTTTGACGCCATGTGTTACTATATCTACTTGAAATGCGCCATATATCTGATCCGTTCCCAGATAAGCAGCGCCGACTGATGACCGTTGCGTAACAAGTGGTATCTGAGCGACCTTTTGTCTCTTTTTCAATACATTACTGCGAGTTTCTACTACTCATCCATCTTTCTATCCATATTCCATAGGCCATCCAATTGGGAAGACCAGTTTATGCTCGAATAAGATTGAGAGCTTCTGCTCGCCGATTCCAAGAGCATTCCAAGTAGCAGCATGGAATAGAAGCACCAAGAAATATGGCTTGGTAGCTTACGCTATCCTAAGCGCCTAATTTATTCGACTAAAAGGCTGTTTGGGAGCAAAACAGGTGGGGATTCTGTCATCGTTACAGATGGCAAACGAATCACTCCCGAGCTGTTGAAATTTCTCTTCGACTGAGCCCCTCATATCATGTGGATAGCAGACCCTGTTCTCAAACTAACTGGGCAGGCGGACCCATGCAATAAAAGGTCCATTCACTAACTTTTAATTAGATCCCGAGTGAGAAGCACCTTCACTCAGCCGTCCCTTTTATAAAAAACCTATCACTTCCTTCGCCTCGTCTTCCAAACTTTTATAGCCCATATCCTTTAGCCAGCTGCCTTATATAAGTCCCTGAACAAATGGGTTGTCATTCAGATAATGAATCCAGTTAATGGGGCTCATTAGTTAGAAAAAGTTCGGCAACCGAACTCTTCAGATCAATCAAGCCTTCACCATTTCGATGGCTTAAACGGCCTGTAATTGGTGGCAGGTTCGAGGGGAAACGATATCCCATCAAATATAAGCTGCTTCTTAACAGCTTGTATTATAGGTCAGATATGCGCTCAAGCAGATTTGGAGCCAAGTACGTGGCGTACTCTTCAGCAAGCTTGTCAACGATTCATTTCCGACTTTGAACTGCGTCTTGAACGGAGAGAAGCTTGTCATTTGTGGGATAGAGTACCTTGGGCGATGAACGATTTCATCAGGAAGCATAGCTGTGAGATCAATGGAAAGAAAGCTCTAACGAAGTAATGATCGATATGCGCCCTTCTTTCAACCCTTGGCACCTGTTACTTGACAGCAGGAATTGCTGCAAAAATTGAGTTCAAGCTTCAATTTGCCGGATGACCTCTTGAATCATCACCAATATTTCTTGCTGCTGATGAATGATGAGTTTCAGCTGAGGCGACAGTCCATAAATCATCGCCTTCGAAACAATACAAAATGCGTGGGAGTTGAGAAGAACGTTGTAATAAAAATGCCATGCGGTATAATAAGAAGCGGACGAGAATAAGTGGTTTCATTTGTTCCTTCACGATTTATGGGATCGTTTCGCCCACTCGTCTTATAGCTGGGGAATTTCTCTTCAACTATTTTTTTTTCTAAAGATGTGGGCTACCACTGGATCGCCTCATTTTTCTTTCTTTTTTGAGGATCCATTCTGTGAAATATTCGAAATTCAACGGAAATGGGGTACTCGAAGCTCGAGGAAAGCACGAGGCACCCAAATAGATTGGTACCCTAAGATGCGCCATGCAAGCAACTCCATTCAGGAGTTGTAGAGCCGTCGGGTGCGTCTTCCTGTCCCCCTCCGTACCCTCAGCCTAATGATCGTTCCTTTCGGAATTACAGTATGCTAATTTAGTTACTAAATTTGGAATAAAGCAGGATGTCTGTGAGATCTACGGAAATAAGGATTGAAACTCAACAAAAATGTGGATTTCGTTCTGACCGATAATTGAACCTAAAATACTCGAAAAATAGAGCGATTTAGGTTGAGCTGACGACAAATACTGTCTCAACATTTGAACACAAAGATTGGAGCCTGAAATTAAGACATAAAACCATTTTGATATACAGGGTGAGAGCGAAAGTGAAGGGAATTTAGTTAAAGCCGATGATCTCCTTGAGATGCGACCAGCATTTGACTCCAATTAGGAATCGGAAAAGCGTTTGAGCGCGTAGAGGGGCAACAAAAGTACTAACAAGGGCTAGTTCATGGAATCATTGTTGTTATTGTTTTCAACGACTAGTCTCATGTTGAGTAATATAACTCCGAGGAACTAGAAGGATTCGTTGCTTCTGGAGGTCCCAGGTTGACGTAGCACCTCTTGGCTAGGATCTTATCTCCATCCATTCCTAGTTTAAAACAAAGCTGCGGTCGCTCCTCAGCGTTGTCTAACAACCCTCTTCGGAGGCTTGACATGGTAGTTAGAAAAGGTGGCAGTTCTCTTATCTAAGAACATTCCTTGCTATTGCGCCAGGCCAGTCAATTTCTACCTTTCTCAAAAATTTCTTAGCTCTAATCCGTGTAGAGGCTTTAAGAACTTGCCCCATCCAACGTTCGCGGGCTATAGCAGTATCCTTGGCTGCGACGGCTTTTATTTTGAGGGAGTGATTTGATAAGCAGCTGATCTGGATGTAATGCTCACGCTCACGCATATCCCAGAGCATGTGTTGTCAGTTGTGCTCAGAACTCGCCCTGATGCGTGGTGGTCATGGCGCAAAGCAATTGTTCGTCACACATTTTTCCGTATCGGCTTGGGAACGAAAAACGAAATAAGTCAAGGAAATCGAGGCGACACGCAAGACGATATCGGATTTCCATCTATTTGTTGAAATAAAGAAACAGAAAGAGTGTGCAAACTACAATTTGTCATCAGAACAGATTCAGCATGTTACACTATAGCGGCGGAACACTCAGCTCGGTATAACAAACATATTTGTAATATGTAGTATAATATTGGTGAATGTAGAAGTAAGTCCTAAAACGTCAATTAAAGAAGTCGAAGTATGATAAGTCTATAAAACCGACTTAAATGGTGTAGTGGCGATAGGCGCTCCGTTATGGCTCAAGAATTTGCTAACTCGACCTTTTTTCTATAGTCATCTACCTCAGGCAACCTTTTAGTCTCTTTCAATTGGTAGGCGTAAGGAAGAATAAACATCAGCTTCGGCATTTAAGCCATAGGCTCAGTAAGGATCTTGTCAGATTTTAGCTAATGATGAAAGCGTGGCGTAATCTCGAAAAGCTCCAGTGCTGAATTTCAATACACTTTATAAAAGTTAACCCACAGAAAGTCCATGCCTTCTAGGATTAGTAATGAACAAAGGTTGTTACAGGAACTCCCTCAATAAGCCGTGGACTTGCCTTTGCGTGGATTTTTTGCCAGATGGTTGCATGCCTAGTGGACCGCTGGAGTGACACGATTCCCAAATCAAAGGTAATTTGAACAAATTAAATTGGCAAATGATATGCTTGGACCGAGCAGGTGTCAGTAGACCGAGCTTTGAACAACACCTCATTGTTCTTACTACTCTTTTTTCTTTCTTTTTCTCTCGTACTTCATTATTCTTCATTGTTTCGAAGGCACTTAAAATTGTAAACAGCTGATGACCTAATGATTTCTCGGTATCGGCTGTTTCCGCAAACATCTCAGAACGGAATAAAAACAAGTTCACCCCAAAATCATAAAACTTCCTTCAGAGCTTTGAATATAGAGCTCTTGAGCAATAGTAGTTGTAAAAAATTAAATTAATGAAATTTCTTGAACATGTTTAGAGGGATGCTGTGGGTAAAATTGAACAGCCTTGAAAGCCAAACAAGAAAAGAGGGAGAGATCCAAAGGTGTTTGGGCGTTCTCAGAAACTTCTGGCTCGGTACAACTAAGAAACATGGAAATCCCAGCATTCGATCCTATTCTTAGAATTCCAAAGGGAACGCACGGCTTTTCAAACGCTCATTCCTCAGTTGAAAGTCGAATCCGGGCTTGTTAAGTCGGGATTGATATCCGAACCAACAGATGTTTACCCAACAAACGACATTTTCTGCTGTTTTGATGGTGACATCTGCTCCTTCCTCTTAATGGAAGAATAGAGAATTCCACCAAAAAAGGAAAATACTCGGTGGGCAAGTAATTGTGTGCTTGGGTGGGTGAATGTGTGGCATATTATTGCATAATCACTTTTTATGCGTAACTGGTTTCAACATAAACCTTTGGTCGATTCTAGAGAGAACTACCTAGACTACCTGGGCGTCCATCAGAACACGCCAGATATTTGTTCTGGATCAGGAATGTCTGGGAGACTTTAAAAGTGTTGGGCTCATGTTATGATATCTGAGTCGCGGTCTTCCCAAGGAGCCAACGCCTTCAGAGCAAATTCGAGACATCTTGATTTTTGAGACGCAAAAAATGGATTCGTTCTCAGAAAGATGAGATGTAAAGGCTTCAGCAGCTCCCGAAATATGCAAGCGGTTAAGCACTGAACTTCCAGTCAAACTCTTGCCAAACGTATTCCCTGCAGAAAGAACATTACTGGTTACTTTGTTGAAGTGTTTGGAGTTTTGAACGGAAGAGTAATTGCCTGCTGAGGCGAGAGAAATGGCTTGATTGGACCGCGTTTTTTTGGAAAGCATCTGCTTTTAACAGACTTGCAAATAGGGCCACCCCAAATTTTCCTGATCATAGGTTCAGGTGTCTCGATCGTGAGTAATGGAGAGCACAAGAAAGCACAACTAGTACAAAGACCAAGAACTCCAGTGCTAGTGGGAAGATCGATCTCAGTAACTTCAACTTCTGAACGTGAAGGTGAAAGAGAAACGTGTAAAAAAACTTCCATGTTTCAAATAAAAATTTACCATCATCATCGTTGTCTGACATAGTCTAGCCGTAGACAGTGGTATGGGATGTGTTGTGGGTGAGATAAGAACGAGATTCAGGGTGCGCGTGGCACGAGAGGGTGGGTGTGGCGCGGTCGTCTACGAGGGGGGCGCCGTTTAGGCGGGGTCGAGGGCGGAGCGGCCAGGCCTTCCCTCTCCTCCTGCTCGTTGCCGACGGCGGTGGCGTGCCGACTCGGGAAACAACTGACTGCATAAGTTGACAGCATGCATTCATTCATTGCAGGGCTGATGTGGTTGTCGGATAGCGCAGAGATGAACGCCGGCTTGGATAACTTTGAAAAGCCGACGCGAAAGGAACGTAGGCGACGCCACCTTCTCAACAACTCTTCCGTACATTTTTGTCGCAGTTCCAAGAGAAACACTGATTTCAACACCGTGCAATCACCCATGTGGTAGCCAGCAGTTCCACTAACAGACGGGAAACGATCTGTCCTTGCACAAAGCCACGCAGTGACGCTAGTTCAGCGATCATATCGAAGTTTGCTCAGGCACTTAATGCTGCAGTGGCAAACGGAAGGGACGCGGCGCGATTTCTGTCGTCGATGGACTCCCCGCGTACCATTTCAGAGATTCTCATCAGGAGCTTGAGCCTAAGCTGATCGATCAATCGATCCGCAGGTGTAAGCTCACATTCCCCGAAAGCATGTTTACAATGTATCCGTGCGGTGTTGTTTTGATGAGCCTCTCAGCCAATCGATCTTACTTGAGATTCTGTTTAGTCAGTAATTCATCTGGGAGTATCAGTGGGAGATTCAGCTCACCAATAGGCTAATAGCTGTTGACGTAAATATGCGTCTATTATCGTTTCAAGGCGACTTGCAATTCACAAAAGAAATAAGTTAGCAGCGAGACCGCCGACATCACAGCCTTCTCCCACATCTTACATCTTTCGTGCACTTCTTTTTCGTTCCCTGAGCAGAGAAAAACACCGAAACTGCAGACTTTTTGCCAGCGAACTGAGCATATCACTCATTGATAGTTTTTATATCATTCTTTTAAACAAAGTTTCTATGTTACACATGGCTCAGTGGCGAAAGATCTGTCGTCGCATGTCACGATCTCGGGTTCGCCTTCCACTCAATTTACCCTATTAGTGAGCTAACACAATTTGTGGCAGGTGTATCACAGCAGTGAGCAGCGACAAACTTGCATTGTGGTTTTATGGTTTGCGTACAGCCAACTACTTGTACGGTCTTTTTGGAAAAAGTAGCACGTCCCATGCCAGTAGATCGAACCAGAGAAAAAGAGCTGTAAAATGGAAAATGCAGAAACCCACCAAAGTCCGGTTCCCTTCAGTTTCACCCGGAACTTCGTGAGTGTCCATTAACATAAAATGTTCGAAATACAGGTCATTAGAGGAGGAAGACCGCAGGGCCAAGCGCAAACCACGATTATTGCAGGCAGTCTTTTTTTTTTGCGGCTTTTCGAATTTCTTCTCGTCGTCATATCCCCTGAGTGCCCTTATGAACTTTTGTCGAATGGGCCGTCATCAACCGATCAGTCCCATGTAAAAAGACGAAATTTCTGTTCCTTCCAGTTGATAACCCACTTTTGTGAAAGCCAAAAGCGAATTCGAAGTCAGTACCGATCTCATCATCCTAATGGAATCAAATAAATCGTTCATAGGGTCTCACAGTTGGAACTGATAAAAGTTTTTTATATGTGAAAATGGTTTGGTGGATAGTATCGTTGCATTATAGGGCTTATACGTTTTTTGGATAGGAATCTGAAAAATTCCCATTCCCAGTTTGACTTATCTTTCACAAGGCGGAACCGTCTTTCTGAGTTCTATGGTAGTGTGACATTTACATGAGCGCAAAACTTTCTCACACCAAGCAGGTTGCGAAAAGTTAATATATAATGAAGCTCTTTACGACCTAGAGTCAAACGCATGACGTATTCTAACGGAGATCTTCGCTGAAAACCACTGATTTTTTGAGTTATTAACCTTTTCCCCCTCATTCCTGTGCATTTTTTTCGTCTCTATGTAAGGCGCTGGCGCTGCGCTAATGGTTTGCTAGTGGAAAAATTGCACATAAAAGTTGTTTGCAAGGCCAAATTCTTTCTATCGGTACGTAAAATGTGTCTGAAGCGTTTTTCCGTTGTCAGAGATCCTGAGATTGCTCCAGGAAGGGGAAAGGAAAACATGGATTGCTTTTTATATCAAGCTGAAATAGAAGTGACACTAATCAGACTCTCTGAAATTGATTTTTTCGCCCTCCATTTTTTTTTGTTTTTTTTTTNAGCCCTTATTTGAAAACTGGCGTGTCCGTGATATAACACGACATAACACGTTTCATTGAGTTCATTTCTTGATATACCGACATTGTGGTAGGTGGCCCCCACCAACTACATTTTCACCCTTTAATCGATCTATAGCAGACAAGTTGCATCATAGTGGGGAGCTCATTCTACTAACATGGCTCATAAGATCGAATTCAGCGAACAAGGGCTTTATCCCTACAGGCAATTCCCCTTGGTTGAAAGTTTGAAGCGATGCCAGTCCAAGCTGTGAAATCGCAACTAGAATCACCTTCGTTTGGTAGGGCTAGGAATATTTCGGAATCTCAGAAGCTAATTTCGAAAATTTTCGGAAAGCATTTCGAAGTCTCAGCTACGTGAATGTTTAATAGCAATTTTGCAGTCTCGAGTATTCGATGAGTGTCCAAACCAGGGTGTGGGGTTCCTCTTCTGATGCTCCCCTGGAAAAATGAAAAAGCAAAAGTTGCTGGTTCGAAACACTTCTGGGAATCTGAACTGAGGTCTAGGAGCGTGGCGCATGCTTAATGAAGCTCTGAACCGAAAAAGTACTTGACTTTTATCAGATCGTCATTTCGTTTTTACTTAAAAAGGCGTCATCTGTCATCTCACGAATGTTGTATGCGAGAACATTAGAACTAGTGTTGAAAACGAGGTTTTGCCATGGAGCAAGCAACAATTTCCTATGAGGGCCAGTTTTAACTCCAAAGTTCATGGTAGAGTACGACTATCAGCCTATTTGTCTTCGTATCTTAATGTTCTGCATAATATTTACATTTTTTTCTGCGGTTATCGCTCTCTGTCTCGCCGTGACCCTGGCATATGATGTTTGGAAAGGAGCGGTGCTGTCGAAAGGGCCGAATTTGATTGTGACAGAAATCGGGCACGACTAAATCATTTAAATGGAACGTGCCCGTATTTCGTGATTGCAAAAAGGCTTGCAAGATATTTCTTGTTGATTTACGGCAATTCTGATTTAGGATGCCTACTACAGACGGGGCTGAAGGGCAAAAAGTTTCAGTCCAGTTGTGGAGTAGGCCATGGATTCGGATTGCCCTCAGAAACCCTAGGGCATTCCAGTGGGTGGTTGAGTCAACCTGTTACCTTACTTTACTTCCCTTGTTAGGCTTGGAAAACTGGCGATAGGAGAGAAATGCTGGGCGAGGATGTATCCGTTCGGGAATACGCCATGTATTCGACTATGATCTAGAACTGTAACGTCATTCGAGTTTTTTCGAAAGTCACTCAATTTGTGAATCGTTTTAATTTTATATGCCTTCGGTCTAGGGGTGATAACATTGTTTGAATTCCTTTGAATGCCGCTGAATGTGCAAGTCAACTTCCGAATGGGCCAAGAGAAATAATTAAATTAGTGAAAAGGAGGCATAATTTGAAAGAAGCCAATTGAAAAAGCCTTCATTTTCACGTGCCTTTCCCCATTTCACACACGACCTCAACAAAAACTTTTGTTTACTGCGTTTGTACTTGAAGTCTGATATGGTCGACCCTAGCGTTCCCTTACTTTGAACCTTCGGGCAAGATTGGACGTGAAGATCTTGAGGGCCGTAAACCCTTACCTCTTCTAGAACTTCGCCATGATTGGGTGGATTCATTTGGAAAGATGAGTTCCCATACAAGTGCACCAAATGAACGACTTATGGGATAGTTAAGGATGTTCGAGAGCAGTACGCCGTATCTAGGTATGTCGTTCATCGCAAAATGAATGACTTAGTCTTGATGAACGGTTTTTTAACAATCGGCCTCTCATGACCACACTATTAGTGATGTTCAAGGGCAAGCCGTCTCATCAATATTGTTGAAAGTCAAGGCAAGGAGAATTAGGACAGTTGATCATCCGTCGACGTTTCATTCGTTTTCTGCATAACACTACAATTAGTACTTTACGTTGAGCACCCATAGGAGTAGTGGAGCGCTTAATATGTCCCTTAAGGAGATTAGGGTTTCAGAAGTTGTAAAAAACCATATATTATTAGTTCGAAGGGTGGGGTCCTCCTCGGTCGATTTGAGGGAAGAAAATAGAAATTCCCAGCTTTTTCAAGCTCATACCCAGTAGTGATCTCCCTTTTCGGCTGTTGTTGTTCAGCTTATGGCTGCAATCATGAAAACATGGTGGTCCAGAAATCGGTATGTTCACTTGGCTATAGGAGGGTTTGGTGAATGAGAGGAAAAAACGGTTATTCAACAGTATCGATGAGCTTATTGAATTGGGCAAGGATTCTCGGAGGATGACAAATGTTTGACTTCGCAGTGGCTGTGTCCACGGATCGGAAAGTCTACGATTTCCTCTTCCATAATGGGGAATGCGATTTTTATTATCTACCACTTTTATGTAATACAAGGGGTGTGCCAATCAGCAATAAACATATTCCTATTCAGGTACCTAAAATGGGTCTCCACGGTGTAATGGATAAAGCGATGTGGCTAGAGAGCTTGAGTGCAAGTTCGATACCTATCCGAGACCGAGTGTCTCGCCTACAGCTGCTATGGTACAGGTACGTGTTTTACATCCTTTGTCAGAGGAATTTTAAGCCAGATACCAGAGCAAATTGATGGAAAGCTAATTGGAAAAGGTTCCTTATAAGTCCGCGCACAACATCCCTGTACAGTACGATGTATACCCTGATCAATGAGAAACCAATCAGTTAAAGTTATCAGTCGCTCGGGGGTGCCAGTTTCATGGTCTGTAAGTTGATTCGTCCG